CTTGTGGGCGGCGGCGGCGGTGCGCGGGTTCAGTCCGAAAGCCACGCGCACGTGCGCCCAGCTCGGATTGGGGTTCCCCTGGCTGAACGCTCGTGCGAAACCGCACTGGGCGGTCTGAACTCCAAGAGGTGCTGGTCAGAGATCGTGGACGGCAGCGGCGTCTTTCCACAACGTGGTGAGTCCATGTGTCTTGCGCTCGGCCCGGAAACGGAGGCTCGCGCCGTCTGCGATGGTGACGCGGACGCCGTTGGATATGTGTTTGTTGATGTCCAAGAGCTCCACGTGGACGTGCTCAGTGCAGGGTGACGCATACTCGCGGTTACCTGGCGCTTGCGCGCCTGCAGCGGGCGATGCTGCTGGGGTCGGGGTGTAGTCGTACGTCGCGTTGGACGTCTTGGGAGCCATCGTGCGAGGAGGTGCGGCCGATGGCTGTTCAACGGATGGGGCGGCGACGTCGGGCGCGCTCAGGACGCAGCGGACGCTTGAGCCAGATGCTGATCGATCAATGCAGAATGCACATGCGGTGTAGCACGAGCCGGGAAGGGCGCCCAGGACATGGGGATATGTGAAACTGGCCAGGGCATCTCTCGTTCGCCATCTGAGGCGAGAGTGGCTGGACATTGAAGTTCGGATCTCTCTCAGGCCCAAATTGCGATTACATCTGAAGCGACGCTGGACGACCTCCTCGCGCGCGGCGCGCTTGAGCTCAAACAGGGGCGGACTAATTAGGCGAGACTGGTTGGAATTACTTTAGGTGGGGGCATTTCTTATCTCGGAAGTCGCTTGGGTGTCTCAGGCGAATCTGGCTTGGAAGTTGCCGGGGTGTCTCGGCAGTTGCTGGGGTGTCTCGGAGTTGCTTGGGCGTCTGCGCGCGCCATCTGAGCCACAGTTGGAAGGGATAATCAAGTGAGACTGGCCAGGCCACCTCAAGTTAGCGGCATTTTGAGCCCAGAGTTGGCGGGATGTTACAGGCGGAACTGGCCGGGGCATCTTTCGCGCGGCATCTCTGGGCGCAGAGTTGCGAGGACGTCTCAAGCGAGAATGGCTGGACCACTTCAGGTCCGGGCATTTTTCAGGTCAAAGTTCCGGTCATGTCTGAAGCGATGTTGGCCGCAATTTCTTGCGCGCTGCACGCGGGCCCCACATAGGGGGGGGGGGGCGTTTGAGGGGAGACCGGCAAGGCCACTTCATGTGGGAACATATCTGAGCCCAGCATTGGTGGGATGTCTCAAGCGAAGCTGGACGGACCACTTCGCTCGCGGCATATGCGAGCCCAAATGCGAAGATGCTTCAAGCGATTCAGGCTGCACAACATCGGGTGCCGGCATCAATGAGGCCTCTTCGGGATTGGGGGCCTTTTAGGCCGTCGTCAAGTGGTCATAGTCATAGGCGTATTGGGCAGATTATTCGGCGATTTCGGGCCCTTTGGACCGTCTTGGGAAGCCCAACTGGCGGGCCAGAGAACACCCAAGGGACCCCTGGGGCCTCCGGGGACTGGCCAGAGAGAGCCCCACGGGCCCCTTGGGCCAAATTCTATTGGGGGGGGGGGTGCCGCCCATCCCCGGGGATCTCCTGATGTGAGATAATAAAGATAGGAATCTATGTATGTATGTATATATATATATAAGTATAGCTTGTACAACATCGACTGCACATCATTTAGGGGGCCACATCTATTCCCTTTCCCAAAATGGGAATTCGGATCCCCCCGCCCGGTTTCACCCGCCAACCGTGGTGTGTAATTTATTGTGCCCCATCGTTTCCTCTAGATATGAATATACATGGCGTCGCGACGCGCACGTGCCGGTATTTGAGTTTTCACAGATATGTCAAAATCCAATATCCCGAAAGCGTTAAAACACCCATGGCCTTGCACTGCGATGTCTGGTGGAAAATGAAGTCTGCGCGCGCGCTCTTGCGAAGTCTCAAGAAAACCACCGGTTATCCAACATTTCATCAACTTCGACCAAGTGTGCTTCTCGCGCGCGCATGCCAGCATCATGCGAGCGCCCTTGGGCGCGCGTTCGGAGGGCACGATCCCAGTCAAATAGTGCAACGCGGACCAATGGCGCCCTCTGGCCGCGCTCGCTTATTCCAATCCGTTCACAAATTTCACGGCGCACACTTGGACGCCTGCGTCAGCGTGGCTTGCGAGACGTGCTGGGAAATCCCAAGCGGTCAGCGCCACCTCGGCTGCGTCGGTCGCGCCGGACTAACTGGCCAGTCTGTGCACGAGCTTGCAAGCTTTAGCGCGGCCGCGGCGATGTTCCAGCCATCGCCACACAGTCATCGCAATCGCCGCCTCATGGGTTTCGCAAACCAAATTGCGGGTGGCGGGGGGGAAGATTCCGCGAGCATTGGAGTTGACAATTCACTTTTGCGCATCTGTTATTCGTTAGCTGCACCATACACATGGTTCCACAAACTTTTCGTTTCACCAGATACACTGCGCAACAAATATATACATAGATGCGTGTGAATATATATATATATATACACACACGTATACATACGTATGTGCATGTATAGGCTCAGGCGTATGTATAATTATGTGCGTATGTATTGGTATATGTATATGTATATGTGTATGCATGTGTAAGTGTGTATGGTTATGCTCATGACGATGTATATGGATATGTATATGTATATGTATCTGTATTTGTAAGTGTATATGTGCATGGACATGTATTTGTATGTGAATGTGTATGTGTGTATGTAAATGTATATGTTTATATACAATCATGCTTCCATATATGCATCTATATGCATATATATATATATATATATATATATATATATATGTGTGCGCGTGTAACATACATCATCGAACGACCGTCGGCCAATCCCGCCACCGTGCTAGGGTTGTGGATATGCAGTTCCTTGGATTTTCGTTGGGATTTCGAGGGGGGGGCATTTTCGGGAGCCTCTGGGAGGCATCTTTGAGGTTTAGGGAAGGTGTTTGGGCCTCTGTTGGGCGTATTGGGGCCTGGTCAGGACCTCTTGGGGGCTTCATTGGGGCCCCTTGCAACGTTTGGGCGGTTTCTTGGGGCCTCTTGGGGAGTTTTTGGAACGAAAGGCTAGGATGTTCGGTTCGCGTTCCCTCATTATGGACCCTCTTGAAGCCGTGTTCTGGCCGTTTTGGGCGCCTCTCGTGCCGCGTTGGGGCCGTCTTGGGCGCGTCTTGGGTCGTCTGTGTGCCTCAAGAAGTACCGTCCAAGTACATATTGATGCAAGTCCTCAGTCCGCTTCTGTTGATACTTGTTTTGAAGTGCTTGAGGCATGTCCTCTGTATCGCTCAACTTGTACGAGACAAGTGCCACTTGAGGCATGTACTCTTTATGCGTATAGTGGCACCAGGGAACTACCACTTGAGCCGTGCCGTCTGGTTTTGGGGCAGCATCCTCAGGGATGCTTCCTGGGGTCTCTTCGGAACGCTCTCGAGGGCCTCTAGGGGATCATTGTGGGGTCTCTTCACAGCCTCTTGGGGACCTCTGGGGGGGCTCTTGGACGCCTCGTGGGGTTTCCTCGGAGTCTCTGGGGGCCTCTTGGAGCCGCCTTGTGGGCCTCTTGGGTTGTCTTGGAGGCCTCCTGAGCTGTCTTGGGGCCCTTGCGTCGTTTGGGGGTCCTCATGGACGCGTCCTGGGGCGCTGTTGGGGGCTTTTTGGGCCGTCCTGGGGCGTCGGGAAGCCGAGAAGCGAGAACGCCAAACTCTTTCAAACACCCAAGAACCATCAATGATTTGTGCCTCTTGGAGCCCTCTTTGGAGGCCCCGTGGGGCGTCTTGGAGGCCTCTTCGGCCGTCTGAGGGTCATCTTGCGCGTCTTGGAGCGATGTGTAGGCTTCTATGGGCCCTCTTGGACCGTCTTGGGGGCCTCTTGGGACCCTCTTGGCCTGTCCTGGGGCTTTCCTGGGCCTCGAAAAGTCGTGCGGGAAGACGCGGGAAGCCCCCGACGACCCGGGAAGTCCCCGACACGTCCTGGGAAGCCCCGCCAGAGTCGGCAATTTGGGGTTTGGGCCCCCGCGAGATTCCTCAGGAGTGAGGGTTGAGGCTAGGACCTGAGGGCACGCCCAGTCCGTGCCCAGAGGCACGCTGGCGGATATTGCTCCACCTAAATTCTACAATATGTGTACACACACACACATATATATATATATATGTATATATGTACACACGCACCTACTGATATATCGATACTGCTCGAAAAACACTGTTTGAGGTCCATGCTGGCCACAACATGCTTGTGCTGCCTGCTCTCAGCAGGGGCGCGGTACCTCTTGGGAGTGCCCGTCGCCCCCGCGCCCAGCCCCTCGGAGGTCCTCGCGGACTCGTGGGGCCCGCGCTGGGCCACCCCCGGCGCGCTCCGCGCGCCGAGCCGGCGCAGGCCCGTGGTTGTGCCGTGTCGGTGGGGCCCCTCGGCCCGGGAGAGGGCGCAGCATCTCTCGGGGGAGTGCCCCGGAGCGCGTCCCGGCCAGAGTCTCTTGGGCGCTGCGTAATGGGGGGATCATAAATGGGGGGGTGGCGAGGGTGGTCCGAAAAGGTACCCAAACGGTACCCAAACGAGCCCCCTGGGGGCTCTGGAGGGGCCCGAATGGGGGCACGAAAGGGGACCTTTTCTGACCCCCCCATTTGTGACCCCCCCATTAAGCCACGCCCAAGTCTCGAGGCGCAGCCAGCCGTGGCGACGACGCGTCCACCCCGTGGCCATCCGCTCTCGGAGGGCCGTCCGGCCTCTGGCATTCCACCTTTCTGGGCGCACGGAATGGTTACCGAAAGAATGGGTACAATGCCCAACAGCAGTTCCTGTTCATCTTGAACAGGATTCGCTGTCCACGCCGCCGCGGCCTGTGTCCATTCGAGACAGAAGGCTGCCTGCCCAACAGCGGCCGCTGTTGGTTTGGGACAACATTTGTTGTTGGGCATTGTGCCCATTCTTTCCGTGCCCATTTCGGGCGTCCAAAATTCTGGTGCTGTCCATGGGCCTCCGGGCCGTCGGCTGCAGGAGTCTCCTCGGGCAGTGCGACGATCAGTCGCGGAGTCGTCGCGGATGTCCTTGCACCCGCTGGTTGCCTCGACGACACGACGGGGGGGGCGGGGCCAATTGGACGTTGAGCTGCTCTTGCTCTGGCCTTGGTCCAACTCTGGGGCTGCCCCTGGGCTTCCGGGCTGTCGGTTGCAGAAGTCGCTTCGGGCAGTGCGACGATCAGTCGCGGAGTTGCCTCGGATGCCCTTGCACCCGTTGGTCGTCTCGGTGGCATGACGGGGGGGCAATGCGACGGTGAGCTGCTTTTGTTGCAATTTGGCGAATGTCGCTGCTTACGCGCAGGTGCATCACCATTTCAAATATGAGGACAGCGCAGCCCATCCCCACCCCCCAGCCAGGATGCAGACATTAGAACCCCCGGAGGTTTGTCTGGCACGATTCTCCCATTCGTGTGTTGTGTCATGTGTCACGTTGTGGCTTGATGTTTCTCACATGCACGTGTACGTTTCTCATATTGAATTCGTTCGTAATCGTTTTGGCTCACTTTCAGGCACTGCGCTGGGAAGGGACCGCATTTCACAGGCATATGGCATTCACATGGTAGGCAGAGCTTCCGCTGCCAGTCGCTCTTCTTCTGATTGGGATTTTGCCGACATCAGTTCGGAGAGATCGGACGAGGCAGCGCGAGTTGAGCATCCAGAGTGGTTTCAGAGTTGGGTTCGTTTGGGCAGTTACATCAACCGATACGTGTTCAAGAACCGGTGCTGATCGCACCTCGGGCCACTGCTCAGAGATAACAGGAAGCTTCGAGAGTCTCACAATCGCCAGGTCGAGCTAGAGCTTTGTGCAAAGCGTGGAGGAGCTCACCAGGCAGGTTCAAGCGCTCGCGCAGCAGCAGCAGCAGCAAGAGTATCAGCAGGAACTACCGCGGCTGGGAGTGGAGAGCCAGCGTCTGCAGCAGGAGCTTCACAACAACGAACAACACCACAGGGCGCAGGTGACGGAGGTCTCGCAGCTCTGGTGGAGGTGCTTCGTCAGGACACGGCGAAACGACAGCCAAGAACCAGATTTGTGGATACGCGCGGCATCCGCAAGCCCTCGCTGTACGATGGAGATGAGAGCAAATGGCGAGAGTGGTAGGCCAAGTTCGAGTCGTTCGCTTGCTCGGTGTTCGATGAGGGTTTTCGAAATGTGTTGGAATGGGCGCCGCAGCAGAGTGCGATCATCACAGAGAATGATATCAGCCTGGGTTGGGGAGAGATGGAGCAGACGACGCCGAGCAGACACCAGACATCGAAGCGAAGAACACGCAGCTGCACGCGGCACTGCAGCGGTTACTCCCGAGGAACCTTTTGATCTGGTCATGACTTCGGCGTAAGGAAATCGATTGGAGGTTCGGAGAAAGTTTTACAGACGCTTCGACCCCGCGACAGGAGCCCGAAAGCGCAACCTACTCCGTTTGATTATCCATCCAGGCCGCAGTACCATCGATAATATGGCTCAAGCTTTTGAGAGATGGCGAGATAGAACCTCCCAGTGCGAGCGTCGCAAAGACGACGCGGGCGAGCGCGAGGCCATGTAGTGATCAGATCACGACGGCCGCTCGCGAGATTTTACTTCCAGAGGAGTTCGAGCAGCATGCGTTTTTGAATCAGTCTCGCCTGGGAAATTACGAAGCTCTCAGGAAGGAGGTCACTGTCTCTGCGGAGGTCAGGACTGAAGCCAGGATCCGCGAGAGAGACGCCCAGACCGTCAAGCCGAGACGCGCCGCCCCCAATGCCGCGGACGCCGTCTCGGTTGGCAGCGGCAGGTCGAAAGGCTGCGACAGGGCAGCGGCTACGACAGCAAAGGCAAGGGCAAGAGTGAGGGCGACAAGGGCGGCAATTCCAAGTCGAAGAGCTCTGCCAACGCTGGCCCTCCGCGCTGGAACTGCGGCATTGCAAGTCAACGAGCCGAGAACTGCTGGAAGTTCAAGCGCGCCGACGGCGGCAAGGCCGAGTCCAGGGGCAAGTCGAAAAGGAGAAAAACACGCACAAAAGGTGGCAAGTGGGGCCCGAAGTCGACCAACCAGCTCGACGCTGAAGGAGACGAGGGAGGATGAGCTCAGCCAGAACCTGGAGATTGCAGTGCATTGGAATTTTGTCCTCGCAACCTTCGCGCAACATTCGGTGGTCGAGAGTGCGCCGCCGAGGGTTGTTGCCAGTTCCTTCTCATGGGGATTCGGTCAAGTTCAACTTCGACGCGGGCGCGGCGGCCGCGGTTCTTCCTGCGGATTGGGCTCCAGCGACTTCCCCGCCAACAGGTTGCCAGTTCGGCGCGGCAGCTGGTGAGTTGATGCCGGACAGCGGCTTTGGCAAGATTCGTGGCGGAGGTGAGTGCGATCGCCCGAATCGCGTCCACGGTCGACGTGCACAAGTACCCAGACCATTTGTGTCAGCAGCGACGATGTTGAATAATCGCACTGGGACGTTGAATGGGTCTCGAGGCATAAGATGCGATCTCAAGAGTGAGCCAGGCCGAAAGTAGACCCACCACGTGAGCGAGCTGGCTGAGCGGTATCCTGACGACGGCATGCGCGCGAAGGTCTCAGGCGACGCCGAGAGGCGCGCCCACGACGCCAGCCAGTCCATCCACGTGCTGGAGATCGCGCCGGCGATGAAGAAAGGCTCTTCCGGCTCGGGGGGCAAGCGGCAGGCCGGCAATCTGCGTGTCCAGCCCCTGGGCAGCCGGAGTTCGAGTTCCCGGGTCAGCAGGAGGCCTCAGGAGGCCGGTCGGGCACCCGGGGCTCGGGTGCCACGCGGGCCCGCAGCCCGCGCCCATGCCGAAGTGGGCGCGCGCGAGGCCGCAGGCCATGCTGTTTTTTGCGCCCAGCGCAAGGCTTGCGCGGGCGGCATGGCAGTTGGTGAGCAGCGTCGTCGCGTCGCCATTCATTCGGAACTCGCCGCCCCGCGGGTCGGCGTGGACTGCGGATTGTTTGAGTCCGACAGACCGAATCCAGCCAAGTCGAAGGTCTGGCCAGGAGAACTCTTCTCGTCACGTTCTGTTCCGTCGTGTTCTGTGGACGTCGTTGTCTAGTGCTAAAATCGGATGGAGAGTCCACTATCCTAGCCTGGAAGAGGGAGATCAGTGAGGGCTCACCAGGTTGCGACGTTATTTTCCAGGAAAGCCCCGCGGGTGATCGCGCAGCAGAAGGAAGAATCGAGAATTCTTTCAAGCAAATGAAAGGTCAAGTGCGCGCCCTAATTTTCGCCGGTCAGTAGGGGGGGGAATTTGCATTCTACCATCCCCTTATCTCATGGGCCCCATCGCGCAGCAGCGAGCGCCATCAATCGCGCGCCGGCGAGGGGAGGCGCGCAGGACGCACGTGGGGAAAGTCCACCGTGGCGCTCGGAGAACGAGTTCGACTCTGACCTATTCGGGCCGAGCTCAAGAACGAGGATTTGGGGCCGCGTGTCGTAGCCCGCCTCCGCTTCGGGTGCGCCGGCGGAAGCGCCGCGATTCCGATCGTGACAACCATGGGCATCCGACGCAATACCTCTCTGATGAGATTGGATTCAGTGCCCGTTTGGCGCGGCAGGGCGACATCCTGGAGATGAAAGGTGAGCCCTGGAGTTGGGCCGGAGCGGCCGGCGAGGGTGCGATCGCGGTTGCGCCGCCGCCTCGGGCGCCGGGGCCAGGAGTTGCACCGGCGATTGCGACGGCGCCGATAGCTCCCAATGGCGTCCGAGATTTCTGCGTGTCTCAGAAGTCAGAAGTATGCCGACGAGATTGGCTCGGCGCCCGCGCGCCTGGCGCGCGAGCAGATTCGCTTGTCCGGCAAGGCAGCGGCGGCTCGCGCCGCCGAGCGCAGGAAGAGAATACTTGAGAAGTTGGAAGCTAATGGAGATCATCGGCATCAGGAGCAGCGGCAGCAACCGTTGATGACGCGCCTGAAGCACCCGCTCAGGCGCCAGCTCCTCGGCACCAGGCGTCGCCGAAGGCGTCGTCGGAGAGAGGGCCGCGCGGCCCAGTTCGGATAGCCGCGCGCGCGAAGCTCCCGGCGGGGGGGCCGCGAGAGGAGGCCCCCGAGGACGCAGCCGCAGGCGGAGCGGCTGAGCCAGCAGAAGCAGCGGGACAGGCAGCTGGAGACGCCCAGATGCCGCCCGCCAACGTAGCCGCAGCCCCGGCAGCGGCAGGGGGCGCCGCGGGGCCGATGGCCATCAACTCATCGTCCATCGAGTTCGACATCCCCCAAACTTGAAGGCGTTTGCGTTCTCGGAGCTTTTCATGTTTTTTTGTTTCCTTCTCCCTCTTTTTTTTTTTTTTGTTTTTTTTTTTTTTGTTTGTTTTTACTTTTTTTTTACTTTTTTTCCTCTTCTTCTTCCCCCGAGTTGGCAGGGGCGTTTGGTTTGCAGCCGGGCATGCTAGCCGACGTCGCGATCGCGGATGAACATGGCGAAAGTTATGATCTTAGGGAACATCATTATCAGCAACGGTATATGCGGACTCCTAGAAGAGCAAGACCCCGACTTCCTCTCATCATAACCAGATTGTCGGACGTTTACTCATGCTGAAGCTCGGCGAGGGCAAGTGCAATAATCCTGGGGGGCCAGCTAAGGCTCCGTGCTGCATTTTTCGGCGGGCGCCTGTCTAGAAGACGTCCGTCGTGGCGGGCGGTCTCTTCGCGCGCGCCCTTGGGCGGCTGCGAGTTGGGAAGATGAGTGGGCGCAGTGGCCGTCTGGACAGTCGGGCGTTGTTCCTGTTCTGCGCGACGCGCGTCATTTTGACATGGTCGCATAGAGAGAGAGAACGAGAGAAAGAGAGAGAGAGAGAGAGAGAGAGAGAGAGAGAGAGAGAGAGAGAGAGGGAGAGAGAGAGAGAGAGAGAGAAAGAGAGAAGAGAGAGAGAGAGAGAGAGAGAGAGAGAGAGAGAGAGAGAGAGAGAGAGAGAGAGAGAAAGAGAGAGAGAGAGAGAGAGTGAGAGAGAGAGAGAGAGTGAAAGAAAGAGAGAGAGAGAGAGAGAGAGAGAGAGAGAGATAGGGAGAGAGAGAGAGAGAGAGGAGAGAGAGACGAGAGAGAAGAGAGAAAGAGAGAGAGAGAGAGAGAAAAAACAAACAAACAAACAAATCATGCACAACGCCTTCGGCGAGGTCTCCAGGGCAGAGATCGTGGAAGAGGTGCGCAAGGATATCCCGGAGATAGCCCCCAACTTGCTCAACTTGTGGGGCTCCGTCGGCACGCCTGTCTACGCGGCGTTTGGGCCAGCTGCCCGGAGTTGCTTCTCGATGGTTGGTGGTCTGTGTCAGGGGCACACTTTGTCTTCTCTGCTTTTCTGCTTGGGGCTCCGGCGTGCTCTTCGTCGATTCCTCGAAGCGTATTCTGCGTCAGCCTGCGCTGGTGATGGCGCGCCGGTGCACTTCGAGTACATGGGCGACGTGCTCATGAAGCTGAAGCCGGACATGGCTGGATCTTGGCCCCCGCTCCTGGCGGGCGCCCTTGGCGCCGTTAACCTCCGCCTGAACCTCCGCAATACCAAGGTATGGATACCTTCTGCTGCTGCTGATCGGCCCCGTCGGGCCCCGGCGGCGGCTGGCTTGCCGCGGGTCTTCGGCAGCCTGGAGTTGATGGGGGGCGCTCTCGAGGGCCAGCAACGCGGCGTCGATCGGGTGCTCAACCTCGCCGGCTGCCTCGACGAAGCGGATGGAGCAGGCAAAGGTGCTGGCGCAGACGCTGCAGGAGATGCTGCGCACAACTCAGGCCAGACCTGCACACCGCGCTGTCTGGACGCCACTGGACAAGGTGCTTAACCAGGCACTGGACCACGACGCCCGCATCCTGCACCCGGAGTCTTTCTCCACACTTGCGGAGCGATTGGACCGCGCCGCGTTGGCCACATCTTGCAGTGCAGCGCGCGTTGACAGGCTCACCGTGACGCAGGAGTCGTGCTTGAGGTTGTCTGCTAAATTGGAAGGCTGTGACTTGGTCAGCTGCGCCTCGAAAGGTTCGTTTTCGCACCTCGCTGGGGCTGCCCAGTACTTGTCGGCAGTGGCGCGGAGGCTCCAGGATCTCGGCTTTGGCCGGAGGCGCATCGCAGAAGTCGTGGACTTGGGCGGCGTGGCGCGCTGTCTCGCCGAGCTGGCCCAGCGCGGCGTGCACGTCCGGTCTGACTGCGCTGTCGTCCGCAGGGCTCCGCCGGCGGCCGCCCTGGAGCCAGCCGCTTTGCTTTGGGGCCAGGCGCGTAAGGTGCGCGCTGTGCTACTGGAGGCTCTGCAGTCCGAGTTGCACGAAGCTCTGCGGGTCCGCTTCTCTGGGTCGCAGCGGGGCTCGGCGCGCCTGCCGAGCTGCGCGGGGTCTGTCTCCAGCCGGTGGCTCACCGAGTTTCCGGCGTCGTGGTGGCCAGAAATCACGGACGACAAGTTTGTCATGGTTGTCATGTTCAGGCTTGGCCTGCCAGTGTACCCTGCCGGCTTACAGCGCATGCGTGCGAAATCGAAGGATCAGTCTGACCAGTGCGGCAAGGCTCTGGACATCCACGGTGACCGCGCTGTCTGCTGCAATACGGGCCCCTACATTCCATGCGGCACGGCTCGCTGAACGGAGTTCTGGCGCAGGCTGGCCGCGACGCAGGCTACCAGGCGCTGCTGGAGCAGACGACCCCTGAGCTCGGCCTCAAGAAGCGGCGCCGGAACGGCAGGGAGGTCCTGGAAGAGGCCATCCTGGATGCAGAACTGCTCGGGCATCCGACGGCTCCAGAGCGCCTCCTCGACGGCGCGGCGCGCCGCCCCGCGGCCGGGCACGTCCTGCCGGCTGCTGCCGCGACGCCGGGCGCTGCCGCTGCGGAGGGCGTCCGGTGCAAGGAGGGCCGCTACCCGGACACAGGCGGCAAGTCCGCGATCCCTTGCGCCGTGGAGACCTGGGGCCGCATAGACGGCAGGCTCTCCCACCCGTTGGGCGAGCTTGCTGTCCTGGCGGCGCAGCGCCAGCGGGGCCGCGGCGCCCCGCCCACGCGCTGGGGCTGGGGCGCTCGCTGGCGGACGTTGATCAGCGCCTGGCTGGCATTGGGCGTTGCCCGAGCCCTGCTGAGCGCGGCGCCCGCGCAGTGCCGGCCCTGCGGCGCCGTGCGGGGCAGGGCGGCGGGCCGCGGGCCAGGCGGCGGCGGCGGCGGCGCCGGCGAGTAGCCCGCTCCCCCCCCCCTTCCTCTTTCATTGCGCATGTGCTTTGAGGGATTCACGTTGGAACTGCGAGAGAGAGAGAGAGAGAGAGAGAGAGAGAGAGAGAGAGAGGAGAGAGAGATAGAGAGAGAGAGAGAGAGAGAGAGAGAGAGAGAGAGAGAGAGAGAGAGAGAGAGAGAGAGAGAGAGAGAGAGAGAGAGAGAGAGAGAGAGGAGAGCAGACGGCAGCGCGGGCCCGGTTCGCAAGCCCACCGGCTGCCTGACCAACGACCCAGCGTTGGCTAACATGCTAGCCCGAGTTTGCTCTGACCCCCCCCGCGATCGCGCTCCGCCCCGAGGCGGGCGCGCGTCTAGAGCGCGCGAGCAGCCCGCGTATCAAAGGAAGGCCATTCTCGAGGTTATCGCTTCGAAGCTTCGGGGGTCGGGGAGATCAACGCAGTCGCAGGTCCAGGTCCGGTTCCAGAAGTCGGGGGGGGGGGGGGGGGGGGGGGCATTTTCTACCTGTTCCAGGAGGAGATCCAGGACAGGAGGAGGAGGAGGAGAAGTATTGGGATGACGTGAGTGGGGGGGCGGCTAAACTATGATATGAACTTACTGAACGAGCTAGAAAGGAGGAGGGCGATTGGATGATCAAACAGAGAGTTTCCACGATCGCGGAGCCAGGTACGTGTAGGCAACGCGCAGGTAGGATCCCGATCAGAACCGGATTGGTGGACACCAACAAGGGAGACGAACAGAGGTTCACCTCTCAAGGTCGGTTTCTGGGGCGTTTCTCGGGCGCGCTTGCGCGGGGGGGCGCGGCGTGACATGCGCGCTGCTTCCAGGTGGTCGCGAGGGCATGAGCTGAACAGAAGCACGCGCGGCACTCGGGCTGCGAGTCGCGCCTGGCAGGGCGACTATTTGAATATCATGAGAGACGGCGAGCTTCGTCAATCCCTCTCTTCTCTGTCGTGAACGCGACGAGGCGGGAGGCCGCGTGGGCGACGATGGTTTCATGGTTGTCAGCAATGAGGTCATTTTGGCTGATGTGCATTCCACGCTGGCCTCTAAGCACGACATGAAGTGGCGCTCTGGCATCTTGGGGCCCGAGGGCGAGGATTCGGAGGACATGGCTTTTCTCAACAGAGTCATCCGATATTCTCGAGGACCTGGGACATGCGTCGAAATCGAGAGTGATTAACGACGCGTTGAAGCGCTTTTGAGGGGCAGCGGTTTTCCAGCTAGTGTTGAGCGTCGAGGAGGCCCTGAAGGAGCGAGAACTCCCAGTGCTGGACCCTGCAGGCGTTCGAGCGCACTGATCCAGCGTCGCGCGAGCTGCTCGCCTTAATCAGGGCCGACCCGACATCGGCGAGGCGGTCCAGCCACTGACCAGGAACACGCAGCGCCCCAGTGTTTCAGACGTGGCGGCAGTCAAGAAGTTGCGCAGGCACGTCTTGTTTCCCGCTCCTTCCACCCGGCCTTGCCTTGTGAGCTTGGTGCTTGGGTGGGCGCTGGCTGGGCAGGATGTCCGACCGCGCGTGAGGGTGCGACAGGTATGGTAGCAATGTTCGGGAAGCATTCTTTTTTATATATATTTTTAGTACCCACTACAGTTGACAGTAGCACTGAGCAGCGGAGAAGCAGAGTACTACGGCATCTTGAAAGGTGGAGCGACAGGCTTTTCCATCAAGGTGATCCTTGAGGATTTCGGTTTCTCTTACAAGTGCATGTGCTTAGTGAGGTGAAGGACGAGCTTTCACTTTCGATTGCTTCGCATCCCCCCCCGCGGCTCGAGCTTTCGCACATAGGCATGGTCTAGGCAGACAGAAACACGTAATGGCTAAGTCTCTGTGGTTTCAAAAGTAAAGTTTGAATCGCCGTTTAAAGATAATCCCTGTAGGTGTCTGAGTGATCGTTGCCGACTTCTAAACTAAGTGTGTCTCTGATGCAACAGCTTCGGCACCTCAAAGCCATGGGTTCCGTTTTCAGATATGTCTGGAGCCAGTTGCACAGGAAACTTTAGGCAGTCCATATCGTGTGAGCATGAATTCGTGGAAGACCTGTCCCGAGGTCGTGCAGACTTGTCTTAGGAGGAGCGCAGATATTAGAATCCCCGGAGGTTTATCTGGCACGATTCTCCCGTTCGTGAGTTCTATCATGTGTCTCACGTTGTGGCTTGATGTTTCTCACGTGCACGTGTATGCTTCTTATATTGAATTCGTGCGTAAACGTTTTGGCTTCCTTTTCAGGCGCTGCGTTGGAAAAGAACCACATCTCCCAGGAACATTCTATTTACACAGGACCCCCAGTCTGGACCCGGTGATCCAGGGGGTCTCGACTGGAGGGGAGGGTGGTTTGATGGCCCCCGGGATCCGTCAAAAACCACCCCCGCCCCCAGCCAGGAACCCTTGGATCATCAGGTCGGGAGCGGAGGTCCTGGCTGGAAGGGGGGGGGTGTTGTGCCGTGCTGTCCTCATGATACTTGTCCCCAGCCTGGCGAGTTCCGTTCAGGTTCACCATTATGCAGTTTCTGCCTGCCGGTTTGGCAGGACGGCGACGCTCAGCGGCGCCCTGTCTGCAGCACTTCGAGTGCCATGTACAAGCCTGGGGGTGACAATGGATACACAGATATTGTGCTCCAGGTAGGTTCTCAGCTATAAGAATCCGTTGGTATTAGGCTACAAGAAGGATGACCAAGGAGGCCATCGCAGGCCGCCTTAATGAAGGGCATCTTGTGCCGTCTTGGAGGGATCTTGGGGCCATCCTGGGCTGTCTTGGACGCCGTCTTGGAGGCCATCTTGGAGCCATCTGGAGCGGACAAGAGAACCCTCGCCTCCCACTGGGAACGCTTTCTGGGTGGCCAGCGCATCAGGCCAAGACCCCAGTCTAGGTATGTTGCAAGAATCAACGCGTTCAAAAGTCTTGCACGCCGTGCACCCTTGTGGCAAGCCAACGGGGAACTGGGGGTGGCAGATCGAAGACACCGACAGCGAATCACTGCCGCCCCCTGCCTTTGGAAACGCCCACGCGGCTAAACGTTGGGCTGAATTCTGGCCTAGCTATTGGCAAATGTGCTCCCCCAGCCGTTATGGAAACCATCGGGGGAACATTTGGGAGAGGAAAGTGAAGGAGGAGGAGTCGTGAGGAGAAGGGGGAGGAGGAGGAGGAGGAGGAAGAGGAGGAGGAGGAGGAGGAGGAGGAGGAGGAGGAGGAGGAGGAGGAGGAAGAGGAGGAAGAGGAGGAGGAGCCCTCTTGGGGCCTCCTGGGGACTTCCTGGTGGCCTGTTTGGGGCCTCCTCGGGCCTCTCGGAGACCTGGGGCCTCTTGGGGGCTTCTGGAGGCCTCTGAGGGACACCTTGACCTTCGGAGGCTCCTCCTCCTCCTCCTCCTCCTCCTCCTCCTCTTCCTCCTCCCTTCCCTCCTCCTCATCCTCCTCTTCCTCCTCCTCCTCCTCCTCCTCCTCCTCCTCCTCCTCCTCCTCCCCTGATGTGCAGTCCTCCTCCTCCTCCTCCTCCTCCTCCTCCTCCTCCTCCTCCTCCTCCTCTTCCTCCTCCTCCTCCCCTGATGTGCAGTCGTGTGCCCCTCTTTGGGCGCTACATGGCTGTTTTGGGAGCTTCTTGGGCCGTCTTGGGAGCTTCTTGAGCCGTCTTGCGGGCCTCGTGGGGGGCCTCTTGGGCTATTTCGGAACGATCTTGGGAGCCTATGGGACCGTCTTGGAGCGTCGGAGGCCCGAAAAGGCGAGAACGCTGAGATCGTTGAAAAGCCTCGAACAATCACTGATCTGGGGCTCCTCGACGTCCTCTCGTGGACCTCTTGGGCCATCTTGAGGCCATCGTTTGGGTGTATCTTGGGCCGATGCGGAAACATCTTGGGGCCCTGGGGGCTCTCTTGGGGCCACCTTGGGCTCTCCGGGGTGCCATCTTGGAGCCCTCTGGGGCGGACAACACAAACCCTTGCCTCCCACCTCCGGGAACGCCTTCCGGGTGGCCGGCGCAGCCGGCCGAGACGTCCTGCTCTGGGTGTCATGCCAGAGCCAGCACGTTCAGACGTCCTGCGCGCCGTGCACCCTTTGCGTCAGGCGGTCGGCGCGGGGGCAAGCCCCGCTCCTGCTGCGCATGGCGTGCGTATCCGAGTGCGCGGCGCTGGCGGCGCGGCGTACCGCGCAGCTCCCCGAGGTGCCCGACGGAGTCGGGCGCCTCTTCGGGGCGCTTGCGGCTGCGCTCGTCGCCCGACCCTGCTCGCCAACAAAAAAAAAAACACCCTTGGGTCCGGCGGTCGCAGACACGGATCACAGGGGGCGCGGACGAGCGACGGGTCCCGTCTCCGTGGGCCATCGCGGGCTTCCGCCGCCGACGGCGAGGCGGCACTGGGCCGCGTTTTTGGGGAGGGCGCCTCCCCCGATCCATGGATTTGGCGACCGCGCGCCAAATCCATGGATCGCTGATCCATGTCTGCGCGCCCCCGATTGTGGCAAGTCAACGGGGGGCGGCGGATCGAAGACACCTGCGGCGAATCAATGTGGCAACTCCTGACCTATTGGACAGCGTGTCCCCCGGTGTCCACTCGAGACAGACAGCCGCCTGCCCAACAGCGGCCGCTGCTGGTTTGGGACAACATTTATTGTTGGGCATTGTACTTACCCCTTCTTTCCGTACCCATGTCGGGCGTCCACATCTCGGGGGTCAGCCAGAGCGCCCGATTTTTTGCAGGATGCTGCACGGCCGGGGTCGCATTGATCCGGGCGTGGGCGCAGGGTCCTGCAGGATCTTGCGGGTGCCCTCGCGCTGACCTGGGCTAGGGTGCGGGACCTTGCAGGATCTTGCAAGATCTTGCAAGGACCTGGGTTAGGGTGCAGGACCTTGCAGGATCTTGCAGGTGCCCTCGCGCTGACCTGGGTTAGGGTGCAGGACCTGGGTTGGGGTGCAGGACCTTGCAGGATCTTGCAAGGCCTGACTGACCCGGGGCTGGATCGACCCGGGTCAGCAGATCCCCGGCGCGTGCGCGCGGCAGGTGGGGCCCGTTGGGCGAAGGGCGGCTGGCCATGCTCAGGAGGGAAAGAAACACACAGACACAATTATTCGTCGATTCCCTAGAAAATATGGGAAAATATAGGAAGTGGGGGGGAAGACAAAAACCGAGAAAATATTGGAAAATATGGGGAACACTTTTATTTGTGTGTATTTATTTGTGTGTCCTGGGGCCCCTTCAGAGGTTGGGGGCAGGAGGGCCTCGGTGCCAGGGCCGCGGGAGGCAGGGGCGACGGGGCGGAGGCCCGCGGAGGCCCGCAGCGGAGCCGCGGCGGCGGAGGCCCCCCGGGGGGGTCCCGCTGGGCGGCAAGGCTGGGGGCCCCCGTCGGCCCGCGCCGCGGCTGTCGCCGTCGAGGTCCCCAGCCCTCCTCCTCCTCCCCCTCCTCCTCCTCCTCCCCCCCTCCTCCTCCTCCTCCTCCTCCTCCTCCTCCTCCTCTCCTCCTCCTCCTCCTCCTCCTCCTCCTCCTCCCCCTCCTCCTCCTCCTCCTCCTCGCGCCGACGCGGGGCACAGCGTGGCATCGCTCGGACGTATGGATTTCTGTTCTCGGCGAGGGCCATCGAGGAGCATCCTGCATCCTCGGGCAAAAGAGCACGCGCAACACCGAGAAATGCACGGGGAGTGGACGTCCGCGCGATGGCGAGACATCGGGGGGCCGCAGGGTAAGGTCGCTCACGCTGATGCCCCGCTTTGGCTAATTTCGAGCACCCCGAAAAGTATCGAAACAGTGTCTGCCCGACACGCTGGCGAAGTGCCGAGCTAGTATCGCCTCCCAGGGCCCGACACGTGAAAACCGTCCAGTTATGACATTCTCTGGGCGCTCGAGATTCTTTCTTGTGATCGAGGCTAAAGTAGCGTGGAACATCATAACTTTGAGGTCGGCGGACTGGTGAGCAGAAGGGTCGGTGTCCGCGCAGAGGAACGCGCACCATTCGCCCCAGGACCTTGGCACCAGCCCTCGCGCGGAGGACGGCGTCGAAGGGCCGGCGTCCGCGCAGAGGAGCGCGCGCGCCATTCGCCCCCGGGCCTCGGCACCAGCCCTCGCGCGGAGGACGGCGTCGAAGGCGGGGGGTCAGCTGGCCCGTCGGGGGGCGCGCGGTCCCGGGATGGGCTGCCTGGGGGCGGGGGTGGGAGCGTGCGCCGCGAGGCCGGCCGCCTGCACCCGGGGCACACCAACAGACGCACGCACACGCACGCACGCACGCACGCGCGCGCGCACGCGCGCACGCACGCACACACACGCAAGCTCGCTCGCTCGCTCGCTCGCACACACACATACATCAGGAGGGAAAGAAACACACAGACACAATTAATCGTCGGTTTTCCAGAACATATGGGAAAATATGGGAAGTGGGGGGGAAGACAAAAACTCAGAAAATATAGGAAAATATGGGGGATATTTTTATTTGTGTGTATTTATTTGTGTGTCCCAGTTCCTCTTCAATACAGTCGGCCCGGATTAGTAGGTCGACCCTGCCAAGTCAAGTGTACTCTTGTGTCCTGTGCATCGCGCGTCGTGTCCTCCTGCAGTCCTGGGAAGGGGCCATGTTGGAGGCCATGTTGCAGGCACCCTTGTTGGAGGCCGTGCTGCCGTCGGAATAGTCTTGTGTCCTGTCGCGTGTCCTGTGCAATGAATTCTGCCTGTGCACACACGCGCAAACACACGCACATACACAGCGCGCAAACACGCACGCACGCACGCACGCACGCACGCGCGCACACACGCACACACATACACACACACTTACACGCACACGTGCACGCACACTTGCACACACACACACACACACACACACACACACACGCACACACTTGCACACACACACACGCGCAATTACCTTTGCACACACATACACACATACACACGCACTCACACACGTACACTTCCCCCCGCTGGTGACCTCCCCCTCGCCCGGGCAGGAGGAGGGGAGGATATCGGGGGCAATGTTGGGGGGGATAATGCCCAGGGGTGGGGTTCAGCGGCCCCAACCGGCCATTCATCGCAGATAGAGGTCCGATAGCCCACCCCGCCCAGGAACATGTGGATTCGCTATCGTGGACCTGCTGCCGATGTACCGGAGGTCAGTTGCCGATTTCAGGTCGATGTCCCGCCTCCTGAGCCGGTCCCCCACCTAACGTTCCCCATCAAGATGGGCATCAGCATAGGCACGTGTGTCCCTGTCTTCCCAGTTTGATGCCTCGTTTTGCCGCGAGGTCGGCATCCTGGCCAGATGCCTCGTTCGCGCAGTTTGCGTGGCCCCTGCGGCATGCGGTATGCGTGTTTTTCTGTTGGTGTCGGCGGCGCTCCCAGGGGGGAAGCGAACGAGGGGGCAGGCCTTCTGCGGAGGCGCGTGGCTTCTCAGGAGCCCCCTGACCTTCTGCTAAGCGTTCCGTGCCTGCGGGGAGTTTTTTTTCGAGCATTTGCCAGGAGGCCCGAGGCTCTCCGAGCTCTGCGTCTCCCAGCGCGCTCCACCGCTCGCAGAGGGCCCGCTCGCAGGCGTCCGAGGCGCACACGTGCTCGCAGCGTCGTGGCAGCGGCCCGTAGAGTTCCCCCCCCCCGCGGCGGCTCCGGGCCCCGTGCGAGCAGCTGCCCTGCGCGCAGTGGAGCGCGCCCGTCTTCTCTTCGGGTGCTGCTGGAAGTGCCCCTGGCCCAAGGTGCCCCCAGGTTTCCGCTCCATTCTGGAGTCCCTGGGGCCCTCTGGGCCTCGTGAGGGGTGCCCTGGAGGCCGTTCGGGCCACGCCGAGAATCCTAGGGGGACCTTGGGCCAGGGGCACTTCTAGCAGCACCCGATCTCTGAGAGGGCCCGCCCCTTCTCGCTTTCCCCCCCGGGGGCTCGCCGACGGCGGTCGGCCTGCCAGGGGGGTGGTGCGCCAGCCACGGCGCCTCGCCGCCGTCCCCCCACCTGCTGCCGCCGCTGCGGGGAGCAGCGACCGCCTGGAGCGCGCAGCCCTGCCTCTTATGAAGAAGAAGCAGCGTCGGGGGTGGACAGACCTCCTACCCTGACACGTCGATTAGCGAATTGGCCGTTTTCGGTGCGCGAGAGGGCGTCGCGGCCGTCATTTTTGCGGGTCCAGGTCCGTCGGTTTCAGGCCGTTGTCAGTAAGCGGAGGTTTACTAAAGGGAGGTTTGTCCACCGCCGAAAGAAGCAGCGGCGTGAACGTGAACTTTCGGGGCTCCGCGCGAGTCTCTTGGATCGGCGCCGGGCCCCCGTGGCGGCGCCGCCCAAAGCGCGCTCCGCGCGCCAGGGAGGGAGGTCTGGTGCGGATCCGAGGATGCCGCGCTCTGGAGGCCAGTGCTTGTGCATTTTTTTGTGTGTTCTCTATTTTTTGTCAGCTGGCCCTTTCCAGGCCAGGATCTGCCGCTGTTTATCTGGGCAAGTTCTGCCGCACGCGTCAAGCTGACACCGCACTTCCTTTTGCTTTGTTGCCGCCTTGGGGGGCAGGATTTGTCCGCCCCAGTCCTCGCCGGCAGCATGCAGCGGCTCCAGAGAACCTTTTTCAGCACACCGTGCGTGTTCGTTTGAGCGGCTCGATTGACCGTCGTGGCTACGAGTGGGTCGAGTCAGAAAACCCTTGCCTCTCTCTCTCGAGCAAGAGAATGACGCAGACGACGTTCGGAGGTCCGCAGTCCTTGGATCGGCGCTGGACCCCCTTCCGTGGCGCGCGGAGCGCGCCAGGGGCGGGGCCACGGGCGCTGCCGGGGGGGCTGAGCGCCGATCTGAAACATTCGCGCAGAGCTCCGACGGTTGTGATTGTGCACTTTTCGTCCTGTTCTTCCTGACTGCTGGTCTCGTCCTCCTGGTGCCTTCTGTCGCCGCTCCCCCCTCTTGAGTCTCTTCTGCCTTCAGCCCCTGCTCGCTCGTCGAGGGTCTCGATTTGGCAGCCGGCGCCTTCGAAGTACAGTGGTAACGGTCTCGGGGCCAGATCTGCACACTGCACACCCTTGTTGTTGGCCGCACTGGTGCGAGCGTTCTTTGATGTACTAGATGGCTGGTCGGCGGCGCCCGGTTGGACGATGCTGCATGGGTTGGCCGTTAGGTCTCTGGTGCCAGGGCTCGACCTTAAGTGTGTTTTGGCGATTTCGTTGGCTGTTTTCGTTTCGATGTCGTTTTGCAGCAGAGGCGGATTGAGCACAAAAACGACGGAAAAAGAAAACAGCACGAACACGAAAACACTGTTTAGGTCGAGACCTGTTGTGTGCAGGCCTATGAAGTTTGGGCGGGGGATCTGTCAGGGTCGGTGTATCTCTGCGACCACTTGCGAACTCTACCCCTGCAGGTCCAATCGACGCTGGGGTATCGGTCGGGGGCCCCAAACGGTGCGGTGACCACACCGTGCGGTGAGTCGGTGGGGATCACCGCACGGTTTTGGGACTCGGGTCGTTCTCCGAGGACGTCTCGGGCGACATGGGCCTCCAGGGTCCCAAAACCGTGCGTTGACAGACCGTGCGGTGAGGCCTCTTAGGGTTCCGAGGTCACCGCACGGTTTGTCACCGCACCGTTTCGGGACTCCAAAATCGGACGCACCCGCCGGGCGTCACTTCGCTGCAGGCATCCTCCGAGTCCTGAGCCCAGGCCAGCTTTTCAGGAATCGGGTCCACATGAGCGACGGCAAATAAGAGGGTCGACTACGCCGACATCGTCGCGTGAGATGCCCTCGTAAGGTCGCGCGCAAGCGCCCTCGTTTCCACTGTAACGTGCCACGCTGGCGGCCCCCGAAAGCCACCGCGTAAGGTCGCCATGGCATCTCGCGTAAGACGCGTTTCTTTTCGTCGCTCATATGTCCGAGCGCGTTCCACCACTCGCAAAGTGCCTTCTCACACGCGTCCGAAGCGCACATGTTGTCACATGCTCGCACCGTGGCAACGGATCGCAGATCCCCCCGCGGCGGCTCCAGGCCGCGTGCGAGCAGCTACCCTGCGCGCAGTGGAGCGCGCTTGTCTTCTCCGAGAGACCCGCCCCTTCTCGCTTTCCCCCCAGGCTCGCCGACGGTGGGCCTGCCAGGGGGGTGGTGCGCCAGCCACGGCGCCTCGCCACAGTCCCCCCGCTGCTGCCACCGCAGCGGAAGCAGCGATCGCCTGGAGCGGGCAGCCCTGCCTCTTATGAAGAAGAAGCAGCGGCGTGAACGTGAACGTTCGGGGCTCCGCGCGGGTTGCCCACTGGTTGGGATGTCTGAGCGATAGCGGCCGTGATCGGCCCTCCCCCTCCCCCTCCTCCTCCTCCTCCTCCTCCTCCTCCTCCTCTTCCTCCTCCTCCTCCTCCTCCTCCTCCTCCTCCTCCTTCTCCTGCTGCTGCTCCTCCTCCCTCCACCCCCCGGACCACGGCATGCTGTTTGTTGCCCACATGTGCAACGATGTCCCAGGGATTCTTCGAGGACTTCCTGAGGAGATCTCCGGCGGCCCCCGCCGCGATGTGATCGGGGGGGTGCGAATTCTCCCCCCCCCACCCACACCACCCACCCACCCACCCACCCACCCCCACCCCGCCCGCTCCACCTCACTCCTCCTCTCCTCCTCCTCCTCCTCCTCCCTCCTCCTCCTCCTCCTCCCTCCTCCTCCCTCCTCCTCCTCCTCCTCCTCCTCCTCCTCCTCTCTCCTCCTCCTCCTCCTCCTCCCCTCCTCCTCCTCCTCCTCCTCCTCCTCCTCCTCCTCCTCCTCCTCCTCCTCCTCCTCCTCCTCCTCCTCCCCTCCTCCTCCCTATTCCTCCTCCTCCTCCTCCTCCCCTCCTCCTCCTCCTCCTCCTCCTCCTCTCCTCCTCCTCCTCCTCCTCCTCCTCCTCCTCCGCCTCCTCCTCCTCCTCCTCCTCCTCCTCCCCCGATCACGCCCGTTCTCGCGAGTAATTACCCTGCGACGTACCCAACCCTTTCTATACATGTGGTGGTTACATTCGGGATCACTCAGTGCTGACGGGCATGCTGAAAAACCCGCAGTGCGGAAGAAGAACACCCATCAGTGAACTCAGAAGAGCGCAGCAAGAAGAGCAGCGGCAACGCGTAAGACGTACCTCTGCTGGGCCTCCCAGGAGCCCACGAAAGTGGTGACAGTTGCGCAGATCGCAGCCCCCCAGGGCGCCGCGAGGTCTCGAGGTGGTCCGCGTGGGACGTACTTCCGCTGGGCCTCCCAGGAGCCCGCGAAAGTGGCGACAGTTGCGCAGATCGCAGCCCCCCCAGGGCGCCGCGTGGGACGTACTTCCGTTGGGCATCCCAGGAGCCCACGAAAGTGGCGGCAGTTGCAAACATCGCAGCCCCCCCAGGGCGCCGCGAGGTTTCGAAGTGGTCCGCGTGGGAAGTACCTCCGCTGGGCCTCCCAGGAGCCAACCAAAGAGGCGACAGCTGCGCAGATCGCAGCCCCCCAGGGCGCCGCGAGGTCTCGAGGTGGTTTGTGTGGGACGTACCTCCGCTGGGTCTCCCAGGAGGCAACGGAAGTGGGGACAGTTGCGCAGATCGCAGCCCCCCAGGGCGCCGCGAGGTCTCGAGGTGGTTTGTGTGGGACGTACCTCCACTTGGTCTCCTAGGCCACGGAAGTGGGGACAGTTGCGCAGATCGCAGCCCCCCAGGGCGCCGCGAGGTCTCGAGGTGGTTTGTGGGGACGTACCTCCGCTGGGCCTCCCAGGAGCCCACGAAAGTGGTGACAGTTGCGCAGATCGCAGCCCCCCAGGGCGCCGCGAGGTCTCGAGATGCTCCGCGTGGGACGTACCCCCGCTGGGCCTCCCAGGAGCCCACGAAAGTGGCGACAGTTGCGCAGATCGCAGCCCCCAGGGCGCCGCGAGGTCTCGAGGTGGTTGTGTGTGACGTACCTCCGCTGGGCCTCCCAGGAGCTCACGAAAGTGGCGACAGTTGCGCAGATCGCAGCCCCCCCAGGGCGCCGCGAGGTCTCGAGGTGGTTGCGTGGGACGTACCTCCGCTGGGCCTCCCAGGAGCCCACGAAAGTGGGGACAGTTGCGCAGATCGCAGCCCCCCAGGGCGCCGCGAGGTCTCGAGGTGGTTTGTGTGGGACGTACCTCCGCTGGGTCTCCTAGGCCACGGAAGTGGGGACTGTTGCGCAGATCGCAGCCCCCCAGGGCGCCGCGAGGTCTCGAGGTGGTTTGTGTGGGACGTACCTCCGCTGGGCCTCCCAGGAGCCCACGAAAGTGGCGACAGTTGCGCAGATCGCAGCCCCCCAGGGCGCCGCGGGGTCTCGAGGTGGTTTGTGTGGGACGTACCTCCGCTGGGCCTCCCAGGAGCCCACGAAAGTGGCGACAGTTGCGCAGATCGCAGCCCCCAGGGCGCCGCGAGGTCTCGAGGTGGTTTGTGTGGGACGTACCTTGGGAGGGGCATGCGTCCGCTAATCGACCCCCCTCTTTAGCAAGCGTTTTTGATAGGTTTTGTGATCAACATGGGCCCGCTGGAAGTTGCATTTTCGACTACTTTGTCCAGCTGCGCGAGAACATTTTTAGACCCTGACCCCAACGTGTGCGAGCACTTTTCGAGGGGGTCTTGCATGCCAGCATCCGTGGCTTCATATATCCGCTCGCATCGGCCAGCTTCGTGCGGGAATGGGCTGTGCTATCACCCATGTCTTCCTCTTGGGTGCTCTCTTTGGGGTTGTCGATTGTCTTATATGTTCAATAAACAGCAGGGGAGAGGATTCTAAAAGAAGCTGGCGCGATGTCCGCGGAAGCAGGCGGAGGCAGAGCGAGGGCGGCCTTGGTGGCGGACCCCAGTCTGGCCCGCGACCTCTTGGCCCCTCCCCCGCCGAGATAGCACAGGTTGGCGTGGGCATGCCCGAGGATGTGTCCTCCCCCTTCGCTGGGGGGTTAGGCCGTATCGCGCGGCACGCCCATGCTGGCTTGTGCTGTTTACGCCCGCATACGGCGCAATTCGAACTCATACGCGCCCGGCACATAAACAATCAGACGCGCGCTGCTAATACATGTGGAAAGGGCAAAACATTGCAACAAACCTTCGGGCCACCCAAGTAAACCAAACATCATGTTCTTGCAACAACCCGTAACCATGTTTGGCTCAAGCCTCGAGGACAGCGCGCCCCATATTGCATAAATTGTGGTTTTGCCTTTTGTATCCCAGCACGCGTTGCTCGCATGCCGCCCTCGCAACTGGAGGCGTTCAGTGACAGCGAGGTCGAGGAGGCCCCTTGCCCTGCCATGCAGCTTGAAGAGTT